TCAAACCTAACATACCTTTGGCATTGTAGACTAGGCCATATAAATGAGAAGCACATTAAAAGACTCCATTCTAGTGGATTTCTTGACTCTTTTGAGTTTGAATCAATCGAGGAGTGTGAATCTTGTTTATTAGGTAAAATGGCCAAGTCACCATTTACTGGTAAAGGTGAAAGAGCTCACGGTTTATTGGACCTCATACACTCGGATGTATGTGGCCCAATGTCAACAATGGCCAGGGGAGGTTTTCAGCACTTCATAACATTCACTGATGACTTCAGTAGGTTTGGTTATGTGTACCTAATGAAGCATAAACATGAAGCTTTTGAAAAGTTCAAAGAATTCCAGAATGAAGTTCATAATCAACTTGGCAAAACAATAAAGGTCATTCGATCAGATCGAGGTGATGAATATTTGAGTCAGGAATTTAGTGATCATCTAAGAGGTTGTGGAATAGTTTCACAACTAACTCCGCCAGGTACACCACAATGGAATGGTGTGTCCGAACGGAGAAATCGGACCTTGTTAGACATGGTTCGTTCCATGATGAGTCTCGCTGAACTACCAATCTCTTTCTGGGGTTATGCTCTTGAAACCACTGCATTCATACTCAATAGGGCTCCAACAAAGGCTACAGAAAGGACACCATATGAGATATGGACAGGAAAAGTTCCTAGTCTAACCTTTGTGAAGATTTGGGGGTGTCAAGTTTATGTAAAACGTTTACTTTCAAATAAGCTTGAACCCAAATCAGATAAGTGTTTATTTGTGGGTTATCCTAAGGAAACAAAAGGATATTACTTTTACAACCCATCAGAGAACAAAGTGTTTGTTGCTCGTAATGGTATTTTCTTAGAAAGAGAATTTCTTTCTGAAAGAACCACTGGGAGTAAAATACAGCTTGAAGAAATTCAAGAAGTTCTAGATAGTCAGACTATGCAAGCAGTCCCACAATCTCAGCCACAAGTTGTTGTGGATACACCTGAGGTAGCACCCGCTCCAAGGAGGTCATCTAGGGTACGTAACGAGCCAGTTAGATACATGTTTATCTTAACTGAGCATCGTGACGTATTATTAATAGACGAAGATGAACCTTTGACCTACCAAGAAGCAATATCGAGCCCTCACTCCGATAAATGGCTAGAAGCCATGAAATCCGAAATGAGATCCATAGTCGACAATCAAGTCTGAGACTTAGTTGATCTACCTGATGGTTGTAGAACCATTGGGTGCAAATGGATCTACAAAAAGAAATTAGACAAAGATGACAATGTAGATGTCTATAAAGCACGTTTAGTGGCGAAAGGTTACAAACAAATTCATGGTATAGACTATGATGAAACATTCTCGCCAGTTGCCATGCTTAAATCAATTCGGATTCTCTTAGCAATTGCCGCTCATTTTGATTATGAGATTTGGCAAATGGATGTCAAAACTGCTTTCCTAAATGGAAATCTAGATGAGGACGTGTATATGATACAACCTGAGGGTTTTGAACATCCAATCAATGCTGGGAAGGTATGCAAGCTCAAAAGATCAATATATGGTCTGAAGCAAGCATCTCGGAGTTGGAATCTTCGTTTTGATGCTGCAATCAAAGAGTTTGGTTTCAATCAAAACGAAGAGGAACCTTGTGTTTACAAGAAATTGAGTGGAAGTGCAATCACTTTCCTAGTCCTATATGTAAATGACATACTTCTCATTGGGAATGATGTTTCGATGCTTTCGTCTGTAAAGGCTTGGCTTGGAAAGTGTTTCTCAATGAAAGACTTGGGTGATGCATCCTATGTGTTAGGGATCAAGATCTATAGAGATAGATCTAGAAAGCTAATAGGACTAAGTCAAAGTAACTGCATTGACAAGGTCCTACATAGGTTCAATATGCAAGATTCCAAGAGAGGGTTCTTGCCTATGTCACATGGCACACATCTCAGCAAGACTCAGTGTCCACAAACACAAGATGAGCGAGATCGAATGAATAGAGCCCTTTATGCTTCTGCTATAGGTTCTATCATGTATGCTATGTTATGTACTCGCCCTGATGTAGCTTGCGCTCTAAGCATGACTAGTAGATACCGGTCAGATCTAGGTGATAGTCACTTGATAAAGGTCAAGAATATTCTAAAGTACTTGAGAAGAACTAAGGATGTATTCTTGGTCTATGGCGGTGAAGATCAGCTCATTGTAAATGGTTACACAGATGCTGGGTTCCAATCCGATAAGGATGATTTTAGATCACAGTCAGGTTTTGTGTTTTGCCTCAATGGCGGAGCAGTGAGCTGGAAGAGTTCTAAACAAGACACAATGGCTGATTCTACAACAGAAGCTGAGTACATTGCTGCTTCAGAAGCAACAAAAGAAGCAGTATGGATAAGGAAATTCATTATTGAGCTCGGTGTCGTTCCTAGTATTGTTGGACCAATGGACTTATATTGTGATAACAATGGAGCCATTGCACAAGCCAAGGAATCTAGATCACACCAGAAAGCAAAGCATGTACTCAGGCGATATCATCTCATTCGTGAGATAGTCAATAGAGGTGACATCAAGATATGCAAATTACCAACAGATGCAAATGTGGCTGACCCGCTCACCAAGTCACTACCACAAGCAAAGCATGAACGTCATACTAGTGCATTAGGCATTCGTTTTGTTCACGATTGGTCCTAGTGCAAGTGGGAGACCGTTGGAAGTATGCCCTAGAACAATCATACTTTATGATTTATCAATGAATATTTAATGCTCATTAATTAATAAAGTAACAAACTCATTTTATGTTAATTATTATTGTGAGTTTTCTTTATTAATATTTAGTCCCTGAATATTATGTTTAGTAGCTAATTAAGTACGTGACTTAATTTTGGAATGTTACACTTTAAAATAAGCATAATATTCTAATTGTCCATGGTCTAATATTATTAATCTGGGACATTAATAATTAATAAGACCATTATGTGGATTAACTGATGGCTATATTCCACTAGTCATGGGTATAGAGATATCAAGTTAATAACATAGATGCTTGTTAGTGAACAAGTTCATTGGACAGACCCAACTTGAGGACACTGCTAGGTTATATGTCATCAGTGTTGTCCTCAATAATGATGAGGTGCTATATTCTTATACTTGAGATAATCATGGTTACTTGCATGCGAATTAATATGTATTAACACCATTAAATATTATTTTAAATGGGTAATTATAAAGGTGGTGATTGTACATATTATGAACCATGTAGTGGTATGTGAATTATCAAAATAGTTTTTGTCACTCTCGTATAGCGAGAGAAAGATATCTATTGGCCCCCTTGACAAGTAAGATTAATTAGCATTGCCATGCTCAAATGAGGTGTCATTTGTTCAAAATTAATCTTACTTGGTAATCAAGAAATATTAATTGAGAATAACAAGGATGACATGACCTAACCTTGTCTCAATTAAGATATCGTTTGAGAAAAGAGAATTATTAGCACAAATTAATCATTAAAAGGTTATGTCAGATTTAATTGACATTTTTATATTTTGGATAGTCATAATACCTTGCTAGAGACCGCTTATGATTTGTGAGGCTTGAATTAATTTTTAGCCCACTGCCAATAATATATAAACCTACAGGGTCACACACCTAAGTGATTTGGATCATTAATGTTCGTTAATAACATTAAAATAGCCTGATTAGCCCAATTCGAAATAGGGTTTCGAATGGTATTGGGCTAGGGCCTCTTGGAGGGTTTTATTAGCTATAAAACTCCTTCTTTCCTCCTCTTATAAATAGGGTTATATAGACCCACGAATTTTAAGAGTTAAAATTCACTTCTAAAACCTAGAGTAGAGAGGAAGAAAGAAGAGAACGCTAGCACGTTCCCTGCGGCCGATCCAATCACGTGCGTGTGGATACCGGTAGAACTCGGGATCGTTTTCTCGGACTGTCTGACATCCTTGATTAAGATTGCTATGTAAGTCCCTCTTATATCTTGTAATTTCGTCTATAGTAAGAACCTCAGATCCGATTATTTACTTTTGGGCAGTATTTTTTTGTTTATTCCGCTGCGTTTTTCTGCCCGAAACCCAACAATGACATGTTCAGTTTGTAAGCAGGAGGGGCATAACAAAGCACGTTGTCCAATAAATACTACAACACCAAGTGACATGACTACAGGGAGGGGCACAACATCTACTTCCTCTAGGGTGGGGGCGTCTAATTCCACCGGAGGGAGGGGCATGGCATCTAGTTCCATCGGAGGAAGATGCAGGTCATCTAGTTCCACCCGAGGTAGGGTATCTACTTCAAGTAGGGGGGGTGAGAGGGAAACAACACTTGTTTCAACAGAAAGAAGGGGACGTAGAGGTAAGAGAAGGGGTACAGGAAGAGGGCCACGAGGTTTTGGTATATTCACAAACTCTGAAACGGGCGAGACTACGTTTAATGTAAGTGTGAAAATGTTTATTTGTAAGTGTGTGATGTCCTACAAGTGCATATATACTTGAACTAATTGAAGTATATACATTTTTGCAGTCAGGAGAGCGGGGTGAAATGCTTCTGTCAGGGTAAAAGGGAGAAGAGGTTGAATACTACATGAATGGATGGCATGCTGTTAAGTGGGAGAAATACTATTAGGATAGAATGATAGGCAACTAGAACACTTTGTAACATGTTCCTGGTTTTGTTAAATTATCATGACTGCTTTTGTTATGGCCTTGATTTTGTTAAACTCTATATGAGTGCTTTTGTCATGCTTACTGGTTTTGCAAACTTTGTTCTAGTTTTGGCTACTAGTTTTGTAAACTCAATGGCTCCTGGAAATGTCACAGGGTGTTTAAATTTAGTTTTTATTGCCTCCTGGATGTATCATGCAATGTTGGAATATATTTTAGGTAGCTATAATTCACAGGTGAAATTGAATTACAAAATGCAGATGGCCTTTCATAACATGTTACAAAATGCAAAGGTATAAAGCTTTAATACACCCATAAAAGGAATAACAGCCCATTAAACTTGCAGCAAAGTATTAAAGCTTAAATAACAAATCTGAAATAAGAGCCCATCAAGGCATGTTCACATAGACATGAACTATTGTTTACAAAAGAAACTTTTAATAAGAGCATAAACCATTATTGGCATTGAAATACACCATAGCAATACAATCTAAGGTGAAACCAAAACCAAATTGTCCTAATGACCTATACTTGTTCTTTTTCTTCTTCTTTTCAATCTTCTGTTCAGCAAGCACATGACTGTTTAGAAGTAGGTCTCTAACACATCTAACATCCTTCTGGACAATAGCCATCTGCTGAGCAAGATCAGAAATCTTCTTGTGCATTTCATTAGTATTTCGGTACACTCCTTCACCATGAATCCTATTCCTGTATGCGTCCATTACATCCTTCCATACAAAATAACCACATCCTTCCACCTATCATAAAAAAAACAGTACCCAACAGTCATTCCAAAATACAATAGAAACTAATACAACAGTCATTCCATTGCCAGTCTTTAATCTTCCACTTGTATAATGAGTCCTACACATTATAAATGCATTTTTTCCAGAAATTTCTCTAGAACTAACTCTTGTTGGCCATACTCACATTTGGTAAATTGTTTTCCTGATGTTAGTTTAGTTAGATGTCACTAACCTAAACAACATATTGTGGTAGAATATGTAAACTTTGGTTGGTTGTACATTACACATTAAAACACACCGAATTCTTATTACGTTATTACACTTTTTCTTTGGAAGAGGGGGGTATGACGTTATTAAACTTAATACACTTAATTACGTTAAAACATACTACATTAACTAATTTAATTTACAACAAAATAATTAAACAAAATACAACATTTACCTTCCAATTTGGACACCCATAAAACATTTTTCCACTCTCTCTTCCAGTACACAACGATGCTTTCATCCCACAATGACAATACACGACCGGCTCATAATCGAATGTAAAATTCGGAATTTTTCTGCCAGTAGATGTAGAAGATGCAGACATTTCTACTATTTCCTTTCGAGAGAGAACAAATACGGATAATTTCAATTACCTCAGCACCTCCGCCTCTTCCTCTTCGGTTGATTTGTTCCACTCAACCTTCAGAAAGAATAGAAAGAAGCCCTATTTCTCCATTGTCGTTCGCAGGTTCGCAGATCGCAGGTTGGGGAATAGAAAGAAGCCCTGTTTTAACCTGTGGTGTATGACATGTCATTAAACATATCAGTTTAATACTTTAATTAAAGCCAAGTGAGCAGCCACGTCAACCCCAACCGGAAGTAATCGGTTAGTCACTGACTGAAAACGAAAATTGACTCATTTTTAGAAGTACGGGGATCTGATTGGTTAAATTAATAGTACAAGGACTCAATTGACGTTTTCATTATAGTATGAGGACCTATTTGACATTTTTAATTGATCGAAGCACAACGCGGATTAGTTTGGCGATTAGACTATTTCTTGTAAATGTGTATGAGTACCCCATGCAACAGAGTAAGCTCTAATTGAAAACATTTTTGAAAAACAAATTGAAACCAAGACCACTTTGGACTTTAGTTCGAAAGGCCCAACCAACGGAAGCGCAATAATTGTAGATTGATCTGTTCTACTTCATGTGATCTATTCACAGCCACAATAATTAGATTTAATAAATAAAATTACTCAAAAATCTAATTTGCCCTCCTTTTATCCCGGAATTTATATAAGTCTAAAGGGTTAAATAAGCCCTCAAAATAACTTAAAAAGTTCAAATCATCCCTTATATAGGAGGCTCTGTCCGTCGTCGTCATTTGGGGCAGTCCCTGTTGGAATTTGTTGATGAAATTTTTTGTGCATCTTCTTCATTAATGATTTTTTGAAGATAACTGGACAATTAAATAACGCAGCACATTTCAGAAAATCATTTGACTGTCTTCCCGGTTGAATTTTTATCTGAAATTTGGTATGAGTAAACTAGACTTGATGAAGAAGATATAAAAAAATTGCACCGAGCACCACCTCAAATGACGACGGGCGGGCAGAACCTTCTATGTAAGTGGTGATTTGCAGTTTTTAAATTAGTTGGATTGCCTATTTGACGGTTTAGCCTTTATATAATTATTATTATAATCTCAATGAAGATTATCAATGGAAATTACTTTATCGGCGGATGTTCGTTCTGATGTTAACAAAGGGGCTGATTCTAATTTTCACGAACAAGCATTGAATCGAAACAATGTATCATCGTTCCTTATTTCTATTGAACCACTGAATTAATCTTCAAGCCCTTTTAATTAATCTTTGTTTCTTGAGAATTCGTGATAGAGAGGCCGCTAAAGGCAAATCGTACGTAAAGCCCTCCGGCTTTTGTTCTCGATTAAGAGGCCCTCACTCATTCCCTCAATTCTACTCATCTTCTCAATGACAGTCAAGTGTGGGTCTCAATTTTCGGATCATCTATCTAAGAAATTTGGCCCACGCTCCACTAGCCCACTTGGCTAGATCAAAGAAATTTGTGAGATTCCATTTTTGATCTACCATCTCGATGGGTCATGGGGTGAGCTTCCATAGTGGAGTCAACTCATTACTTTTATTTTTTGATCTAAGTTTACCCTCCATAGTGGATGGCCTAAATGAGTGCACCGGTCTCATTTCAATGGAGGGGTAAAAACCGTAAAATAGATATCTAAAAAATAAATATTTATTTAATTTTAATTTTGTGGCTGTGATTAGTAATTTGTGGCTGTGAATAGAATCCTACCCTTTTCCGGTTTCCGCATTAAGCTTGATTGCTTGACAAATAGCCTAATCAATAGAAGCCCAACAACCAGACCACACAAATGGCCTAGATACATAAACCAATGAACCATTGTTTGGAGTCAACCAAAACTACATTACCAAGATGAATAGAAATTGATAGAGTATAACCTTTTAGAGAGAAGTGAGAGCTAGAGAGAGAAGTGAGAGCTAGAGAGAGAAGTGCAATGAATACTGCAATAAATGAATTTTGTGAACCCCTACAACTACTCCCAAGGGGAGTATTTATAGAGAAAATGTGGGTTGGGCTCCCAAATCTTGGACTTGGGAGACCCAATTACAATGGGATCTCTTTTGGGCCGAATACAAATTATGTAAATTGACTAAGTATGAAATCCGGTTCTGTGAGCTCTCTGTGGCCGACGAAGATCTGGCCGACGGAGCCATGGCCGACGGAGACCCGGCCGACGGAGACACCCGGTTCTCCTGACTTCTGGATCATGTTCTGAGTTGACATCTTTCTGGTCGATGGAGTGCCATCTGGCCAACGGAGGACCCACTGGGTGCCAGCTGTGCTTCTTATTCTTCTGAGTATGTGGGTCATGGGACTGAGAATAATGGGAAAACCGTGCTCCAATAGGAGCCCCGACAGGTATATTTATAATAGAATATCAGTTGCCAAAATAAATAAATATTCTAATTAATATAAACTATTACACCCCCTCAAGTTGTGCGGGAGATACAACACGCAGGTTGTCCTTTAAGAAATGAATATGCTGACTAGATAAACTTTTAGTAAATATATCCTCTAGCTGGAGATGTGTAGGGACATACTGTACCACCAGATCACCATGAGCAACTCTCTCACGAACAAAATGATAATCAATATGAATGTGCTTGCTGCGAGCATGTTGAATCGGATTTGCTGTCAGATATGAGGCAGAAATATTATCACAGAATAATCGAACGAGATCACGAACTGTCAAGTCGAGCTCAAAGAGAACCGAGCGAATATGTAGAGTGTCCTGCACTGTATAAGCAATGGCTCGATATTCTGCCTCCGTAGACGACTTAGAAACAGTTGGCTGTTTCTTGGACTTCCAGGACACAAGATTAGGTCCCAAAAAAATAGCAAAACCTGTAGTAGAACGGAAACTATCCGGACATCCTACCCAATCAGCATCAGAATAGGCCAAAATACGAATGGGATGAGCAGAAGTCTGAAGCCATAATCCATGATCAATAGTACCCTGTAAATAACGAAAGATGCGCTTGACAGCAAGCATGTGAGTAGTGCGGGGGGCATGCATGAACTGAGACACTAAATGAACTGCATAAGTAATATCAGGTCTTGTCAAAGTTAAATACTGTAATGCACCCACCATACTACGATACTCAGTAGCATCAGTTAGGAGTTCACCATCTGTGAGGGAGAGAGTTGTGCGCATAGCAACTGGTGTACGAACAGACTTGAGAGTGTGTAAGTGAAAGCGAAGAAGGAGATCAGACGTATTTTTGCTGAGACAGAAAGACACCTTTTGAGTTTCGAACAGCTTGGACCCCCAAGAAATAATGGTGGTCACTCAGATCCTTCATAGCAAAATGAGACGCAATACGACTAATAAAGGAAGATACAAAAGATGGAGAATTGCCCGTAACGATAATATCATCCACATATAGCAATAAATAAATAACAGACTGACCCTAACGATAAATGAACATGGAATTATCAGACTTACTACATAAAAAATTATGAGTAAGAAGAAACCTACTAAAACGATGGAACCATGCCCGCGGGGCCTGCTTAAGGCCATAGATGGCTTTGCGCAAACGACAAACATGATGAGGGAATTGAGGATGAATAAAACCCCGCGGTTGACACATATATACCTCTTCGGTAAGATGATCATGGAGAAATGCATTTTTCACATCCAACTGACGCATAACCCACCCAAAAGAAATAGCTAGAGTAAGAACAATGCGAACTGTGGTGGGCTTAACAACATGACTAAATGTTTCAGAAAAATCAACCCCAGCCTGCTGATTAAAACCTTGAGCAACCAAACGCGCTTTATGGCGCTCAATAGATCCATCAGAATGAAATTTAGTTTTATAAATCTACTTAGACCCAACCACATTCTTAGAGTTATCAAACGGAACTAAATCCCATGTATTATTGGAAATAAGTGCATTAAATTCCTCCGCCATAGCTTCACGCCAAACTAAACTTTTATGTGCCTCAGAAAAACAAGTAGGGTCTGCTGAAGTAACAATTGTGTTTAACGTAAAAATTGATTTAGGTTTAAAAATCTCAGACTTAACCCGGGTTTGCATTAACAGGGAAGTTCCAGGGCTGGACGAAGGAGAAGATGACGTACTTGACTGGCTGGATGAAGGAGAGGGTGACGGACTGGACAGGCTGTAGTGAATGGCGGCCGATGTGGAGCTGGAGGAAGAATAGGTTGACCGTGAACTGGAGTTGGGTGTGGCGAGTTGTAGGTTGGGTGTTGGTGTTGCGGTAGAAGTGCTGGTTGGTGAGGAATGAAAGGGTTGGCTGTGTAGAGGAGAAGTGATGGGGCTGGGTGACGACACTTCGGGAGTAGGAGGGGAGGATGGGCCGATTGTGGACACAGGTGGTGGGCTGGTGATAGCTGGTTGTGGGGAAGAAACTGGCCTAAGGGTATTAGTTAGGAAAAATTCAGCATTAGGTAGAGGAGAAGACGACTCAAGTGAAGGTGAAGTGAGGGAGGCATTGGGAAAATTATTTTCAAGAAATCTAACGTGACGACTAACATAAACTTTACCATACTTAGGCTCAAGACAACGATTGACGAGCACTTTGTCACGGTGCGTCAAAATAATTTTCAATACTAAACACTTATACGTAGTATAACGTAGTAGAGTTCGTATCCACAGGGAAAGAAATAATTCTCTTTTTATGATACTTAGTAAATAAAAAGGGGGGATTTGGTTTGAGTGATTTAATTTAATTAAGAACTAAGATGAACAACCTATATGAGATTTAATTCAAAGATAAAAAGGACTTGGCATTGCTACTTTCCACTTGTTGATATATTTTAGTCGATCATTGTTATATCTATAACTTATTCCCTCTCGAATACTCAATCGGGGAGTATATCCACTTCATCGAGGGTAGTTATTAACAACGACCGTTCATTAATAACCCTTACTATTAATCAAATATAGAACAACGCCTTATACCGATTTAATAGTAGCATTTAATCTTTCTAACTCCTTGATGAAATCAATTGAGATTGATAACCTCAACACAAGCGGTTTCGGTTTAACCAACAAAATTAATCCCTCTTAAGTTTATTAACCACGACCGTGCATTAATAAACCGAAGTTACTTACTTGTGAAACCATCAACGATTAACCATCGGTTCGTTGATCGTTTCTAGTGATAATTAATATATGAAACAAAACTAGTTGATCCTTTAAGTAATGTTCAAAATATTAATATGAAATAAGAGAAGGGATTAATTAATATTCAAGGAAGAATATTATTAATGAAGATGAATCCTACTATAATTAATATCAAGATGTTAACTAATTGTCATCTTAGCAACACTCCTCAATATTAATATAGAGGAAGAGAATATCATTCTAACTAATGTCGAGGTGTTAACTAATTGTCATCTTAGCAACACTCCCCAACATTAATGTAGAGATGATATTAAGGAAAGAACTATTAATTAATATTCAAGGAAAGAAGTTAAGAAAATAACTCACAACTTTAATAATCAACAAGCTTCAAGAGCAACACCAAGAATGGAAGTTTAGCTCCTCATTTGGAGACTAAACATAGCTAGAAAAATATAAAGAAATTCTATTCTAAACTGAGCTAAAGAGTATGGAAGAAAAGATGATTTTTTGTGAAGAAAAAGTGTGCTATTTATAGGTGTTTTTCAACACCTTTGGCCGGGTACCCGACCGGGTCAAGTACTTACCCGACCGGGTCCGGTCAAAATCAGATAATTCGCCACGTTCTAGTGATCTTCGCACGTCGTTTTGTCCCGGGTCACATCTGACCCGACCGGGTCAAGTAGGGGACCCGACCGGGTCCAGTGACTTTCTTGGCAATTTCGTCAGTTAAATCATACCCGACCGGGTGGGGGTTTCTACCCGGTCGGGTTTCACTCCTGGGCAGTCAAATTTCTTGTTTTCTTCTCTTCAAAGTCTTCCTTTCCAACACCACAAATCCTAACTATACTTTACAACTTATAAATGAGAATTAAAATACGATTACAACTAAAATCACACAAATGTTTACAAACTAAATAAAACGGTAAACAATACACACAAATCAATCATAAAAATATACATTTATGTACTACTAATTAGTGCATATCAATGATATCCCTTATAGCCAGATGCATAGCCAATAAAAACACAATGAACTGAGCGGGCAGAAAGTTTGTTAGCAGAGGACGCAGAGATGTTTGGAAAGCAAGAACAACCAAATACACGCATAAAGGAATAATCAGGAGATCTTTGAAAAAGTCTTTCATATGGAGAAGAACCACCAAGTAAGGGAGAGGGTAAACGGTTAATAATATAAGCAGCCGTAAAAATGGCATCCACCCAAAACTGACTAGGAATAGATGCTTCAAGGAGCATAGTCCGAGTGAGTTCTAATAGATGCCGATGTTTACGTTCATCAACCCCGTTTTGTTGAGGTGTGTCACGGCAGAATTTTCGAAAATATATGCCATGTTGATAAAAAATTGTTGCATATTAAAATTAACAAATTCACCCCCTCCATCACTTTGAAAAATTTTAATTTTTGTGTTAAAGAGATTTTCAACTAAAGGTTTAAAATTCTTAAAATGATGAAAGACTTCAGATTTGGTGGGGGCATGGGAAAAAGCCAAGTGTAGCGAGAAAAATCATCAATAAAACAGACATAATATTTAAAACCTAAATTAGATAAAATGGGAGATTGCCAAACATAAGAATGAATTATTTGTAAAGGCATAGTAGAATTATGACTAGCATCTGTAAAGGGTAAACGTTGAGATTTGTCTAAACGGCAAGAAATACAATCATGAGAGAAACTAGAGCTACTACAAATATGTTTCTGACTATGTAAACTACGTAAAATAGAAGTGCCATAATGGCCTAATCTACAGTGCCAAACAGGGCCAGGCGAAGTAAGAGAAGACAAAGCAAGAGAAGGCCGGGGGCTGAGTCTGACTGGATAGAGATGACCATGACTAGGTGCTTGAAGAAGGACCTTCCCTAAAATTTTGTCCTTAACAAAAAAGAAATTTTTATCAAAAATTACAACACAGTTGTTATGAGCACAGAGTTTTTGAATAGATAATAAATTAAATTTTATGTGAGGCACATGAAAGACAGATTTCAACGTGAGTGGACGAGTAGAAGAATTTAAATGCACATCTCCAATATTAACAATAGGAAGTTTAGAGCCATTAGCTACACTAACAGAAAGTGATCCAGTATAAGGTAATTTATTAACTAAAATACCTTCCGAAGGAGTCATGTGAGCCGAAGCTCCAGAGTCAGGATACCACAAAGCAGTATTTAATTCACCGTTATTGGAAGTCAGAAGGGCTCGGGCAGATGACTGACTAAAACGATAAGGACAGTGAAGAGCATAGTGACCTGCAGAAAAACAAATTTGACAGACCACGGGTGGTGGAACAGAACCAAGGATACCCTCACCCGATGAAAAACCTGCAGTGCTAGCGTGAGTATCATAAATAAAATAGGGATTAATATTTAAAGTTGACAAAGCCGAATTACATGCAGAACCTGAAGTGTGTGGCCGAGGAGGAAGCACCCCCTGAAACGAAGCTGGCTGCCCCTGCTGACCAAAGCCGTACCCCTGCTGCCCCCGCTGCCCGTGCTGCCCAGCGAGGTGTGGCTGGGCCCCAGCCGGCTGCTGCTGTCCATAAGGAGCAAAACCAGGATGCGGCTGTGCCCCATACTACTGTGGCGGTCCCCTGCCTCGCCCGCGGCCTCCTCTGCCGCGACCACCCCGTCCACGGGCTCCTCTGCCGCGGTTCGGGTATCCTCCAGGCTGCTGCCCACCTGCAGCAGCGGCTACAAATTCTTGATGACCGGCTGAATTTTGCTGTTGCCGCTCATACAAAACACGTTGCTCCTCTTCCAAGAGACGATGATGCAAATGTCAAAGGGAAATTGCTCAGGAAATAAGGAGACAGTAGTAACAAGAGAGCGATACTCCGGTCCCAAGCCAACCAAAATAGATTGCAGAAGCTCTTTGTCCGAGACAGGGGAATTAAATGCAGCAAGGGCATCCACTAAATTCTTGATATCTCTCAAGTAACTTTCCATAGATTGGGGTTCTTTCTTTTTCATGTTTGACAATAATAGTTTAAGTTCCATACACCGGGGTAAACTGGCATGCATGAACCTAGTCTGAAGTCTAGCCCATATATCAGCAGAATGTTTTAAGTCATGGACATCAACTAAAACATCCAGAGTCAAAGTAGCAAACAACCAACAACGAATGGTTTGATCTACTCGAAGCCAATAATAATATTAGGAATTTGGAACTTGACGATGAGCAAAATCAACAGAACACATAGGGGTACCTGAATGGAAGCATCAACAATGCCAAACAAACATTGTGAGACCAAGAAAGACTCGAACTGAATGCGCCAGGTGAGATAATCCTCTACTGCCTTCAATTTAATTGTCACAATTTGAGATACGGTAGTAATATGTGACACCGACTGTGCAAGAGCCGACATTGGAGAACCAAAACTAGCCTGCTCTGGAGGCCGAATGATGCCTGGTGTGCCTGAGAAGGTGGAACCAAAGAATAGGGAAGCAGGCGGCAGAGGAGAAGATGCCAGGACTGGTGACCGAGGCAGAGCCGGTGGTGCAGAGAACCGAGGAGGCAGAGAGGAAAACAGGGAGTAGGGTTCCGCCGGAGGGAAGAATGGTGGCGGCGGAAAACTGGAGTGCAGTGTGGACGTCAAGGGCTACGGAATTGGAGATCCATTCGCGCCTGGAAATTGAGCAGCAGGTAAGGAGGCGACAACGCCTGGTTCTGGAGCAGAAGGTTGAACAGTGGATTCCGGCGCCAGGGATGAGGAGGCTGCGGCGGAAATTGGTGCTGCGGAAGCCATGGCCGCGGAAGCCATGGCCGCGGAAGCATGAGAGGAGATGTTCATCGCTACGGCGATCGGTAAGGAAGGAGAGAAAAAAAAATTAGGTTTGGGCTCTTGATACCATGCGAGAATAATGGGAAAACCGTGCTCCGATAGGAGTCCTGACAGGTATATTTATAATAGAATATCAGTTGCCAAAATACATAAATATTCCTAATTAATATAAACTATTAATGAGGTTTGGACTCATATACTCCATCAGAAATATTGGTAAAAGGTTTGCAATATTTATGAATTGCGAAAAGTAATGGTGAAAAACGATTCAGTAAGGCTCTAGATACCGAGCATAACTAGTTTTCGAGAATTTTTGACAAATAGACTTTAACTTGGTGTAAAAAAGGCTTTAATGTAGTATCATTTTCTTACTCTTTAAAGTTTTTATTTTTCAAAGTACGCATAAAAAAGTTTTTCTGATACGATACCATTTTGTGTATATGCTCAGAGGGTTATTATATTATCTTCTTAAAATGTTTTATGTCCGGAAGTTTTGATCTTCTTATAATAACAAAAACTGTTCAAAGTGTAGCAATATTTATAAAAATATAAAATTACTATATATCTGAGGAAAATATATATTACTAACATTCTGGAAATAAATTAAAACACAAACAGGGAAAAAATATATGGGTAATAAATGCTTTAATTAACAACATCCAAATCTTATTCCCAATAAATGCTTTAATTATAGTGAATAACATTTATAAAAACCTAAGAGCTAATAGAATATGAAGGAAATATTCAATAATTTGTTTTTAAAATCATAACTAGTAAAACGAAAATGTAAAACTTATATGAACCTAAGGTAATATGAAAATAGTTATAAACATCAGTAATTAAAAAACAAATTAAATTGAGAATAAATGAAAATAAAAAAATTCAGAAAAATATCTAAAATTTCAATGATTAACAAGTAGTTAGGTTTGAGTTAAATATGGTACACACTAAAGATGTTAATAGCGGCGCTATCGCGCGCTATAGCGGTATTGCAGAGTAGAGCCGTAGAGGTCAAGGCTAGCGCTGCCAGAGGACCTGTAGCATCGCGTTTGGGTGTAGCAGATATAGCGGCCGCCTTAGCGGGCACGCTATTCTGGCGAAGGCAGACACTATAGCAGCGCAATGATCGAGTGGAACTGTGGAAGTCCTGCTAGGTTATCTGCATATTATTTACTTACTACTGAGGTACAAAAAATAAAATATTAACCACTTAAAACCCTTCTACATGTGCGTAGAAGTGCAAAGTGCAAACGCTTACAAACGGCCCCTTGTTTTGAAAAAACTCCGTATCTCATATCTTTCTGCTCTGCCATGACACCTCCTTCAAGAACAAAACCTTTGCACTCCTCTTCGCTTCTTTCCACAGGTAGAATCTGCTGCTTCATCTTCTTGAGTTCTTACATTCTTCTACTTCTGCTGCAACATCTTCTACAACTCTACAAGATCAACCTTTGCTGCAGTCTTCTTTTCTTCTTCTCATTATTCATCTTGAATGTAACTAAAGAGTATTTCTAAGTAATTTAGGATTTATGAATGTTAAGACTTGAGATGTTTACAACCTTCAGTCCTTCATTGGCATATATCTTACTTTTTGAATTCAAAATGTGTATGTAACATTATATATGCCTCCAGTAGTTACTTATCCATTATATTTGAAAGTAGTCCAAATAGCGGTCATCCCGCTATCCACTATACCACTATAGCGTTTTTGGGGCTGACCAGTACGCTCCACTATCTGGGATTGACAACACTGGTACACACACCAAACAATAACGTAGCTGCCACGCTCCCGCACAACACAGGGGTGAATATACTAATAAGAACTAATTACAAATGAGAGCTTTTATAGAAAATTTATGACTTCTGACAGAGTTCTCGAGCAGAATTTACAAAAAAGAATCAGAGAAATCCATAAGCCTCAGCTTCCTTCTTTCCTTTGTTAATATAGAAGAAACAAAAGGAACCTTACTCATCCATTTCATCACCAGCAAAAAGTTCTAAGAGCTGTTCATCAGTCCACTCTGGGTATTGAGTCATTGAAACCACTGGCTGAGCTTTGCTCACAACTTTATTTGCTTCCTTAAACTCTTGCTGACTAGCATGCGTTGGGCAATGAACTTCCCCGGTTTTCTGAGATTCTCCCAGGTGGTTCTTCGGCGAGCTTTCTGTAATTTTATTGGCTCCCCCTGACTGTTTAGCATGGGTAGTCGTCATTTTTATGATTTCTTCAATTCCTTTCACAGATCCTTCTCTAAAATTCACAGATTCCTTCTCAACAACAACAAGTTGTGTCGTACTTTGTAGTGTGTTGTTGCATGGAAATGCGTCATCCTTATCCATTTCTCCCACATCTGTGAATTTTTCTAACATTTATTTAGCTGAGCATGAATTTCAAAATATTTTTTGAGATAGTAATCCTGAAAACAGTTCTCTCTGAATATACACAAGGCTCTGTTAGTTTACATGATTTCCTATATTTAGTACAAGAAAACATTTTCCATAACAGATTTTCGTGTTTTGAACCGAAACATAGACTTCTGTGGAAAAAGCGGAAAGCATTTGGGAAGAAAAGATTTATGCTCTTCATTTGTGGGTGAAACACTCCAAACATTATATTATATATCAAATAATTTTGTTTCTAGAAAAACATTTTCTGGGGAAAAAATATTTTCATGAAACATTTTTCTACCACAAGTTATTTTCCATAAAACAAACAATGCTTATGATGACATAGTTGAAATTCTACAAATCAACGCCCACCTACGCGCGCATCATCACATTTCTCAGCATTTGTTGGTAGACAATCTCTATCCTCGGGGAACACCTAAACAATAGAACCATTTCAGATCCAAGTCCAATTAGAGGTCTAATGAAAAGTTGGAGATCTGTGTTGTACTATTTCAGGTTCACAATACATTTTGTTCTAGTGGAATTTTTCATCTAAAAACTGTGTCATTTTATAAAATGAAGAGAGTATTTCATGTTATATTTTTGTATTTTTCCCTCTTGTATAACCCCTAATGAAACCAATCTTTTAGGCTAATTAAATGTTATTAAAAGGGTAATATCATAAAGTTTTTCTCACATTAATAACTCCTCAATTTGCATGCTTTCTTCCAAATTCCAGAATGACACTTATTATGAGTTGGAGGGAGTATGGACTAGAAAGTACTACTCTGTGTGAACTCTCAAAACAGACTATTAGATTACACAGGTGCTTCAGAAACTTGGCCTATGTCATCTTAAAGCAGTAAGAACAATAAGAAACACCTTTTCCAGATTTCTGATGGTTATATTAAGACAAACTGCTGACCTTGATGGTGCAAATACAGCAACCTAGAAAAAGAGCACTGTCGAGAGTCAATACCAAGTAAAAGGAAATGAATGAAAGATGCAAATCTGCACAGAAACAGATCATTATATGCTACTAGATATTGTCGATGATTAAAAGAAAATACCTCCTTTAGAACCACAACTGTGCCTACATTTAAGTTCTTGCGAAACTTACCCTCACCGAGCACTTTTGGATGAATGCTAGCGGTAATGGTACCTGTGGGGTCCTATATTTTGAAGCTAAGGAAATCAGTAACAAAATTATATATTACCGGTATGACAATCCAGAATGTCTTTCCTTTTACCTTCAGAGTTACCATCAGACCACCTAGTCCATTTGGTTTAGAAGTCTTTATTACAGCCACAACCTAATAGTCACACAGTAAAAACAAGGGTCTTGAAGAAAGGTAAAAAATACAGACGCATAGTACTTATGTACACCATTTTCATTTCAGTGAAAATACAAGTTTTAAAAAGGACAAAAAAGTTATGAATTCATTCCACTTTTGGTCCTACGAGTTTTGTGTCATTTCCACCTTTAGTCCACGTCTTTCACTTTGTCTACTTTTGGTGCTTGACTAATGTTTTTTAACCATTTGTGGTTCTTTTCCAGCTACTTTAACCATCGGAAACAATGCCGGAAGGACCATATGTGGGCGAAAACACAATAGTCATCAAAAGTGAACAAAGTGAAAGATGTGGACTAAATGTGATATTGACCTAAAACTCGTAGGACCAAAAGTGTAATTTATTCAAAAAGTTATAGACACTCAACTACAAAAAAAGCCTTCAATTCTTTGAGCAAACTCAATCAAATTTAGTACAATCAATTTCCTCAATCATAATTAGCGCAGGCTACAACTTTGATAGCCTTCATTTATTCAATGTTCAAAGTAAGTCTAATTTGTAGCTCACAGTCATTTCAAGCTACAAATGCTAGTTGCTACAAGTTGCAATAATACCTTCTCTACTCTAGACATGCATTTCGTGATTGACTTCAAAGTAGTGATTCCAGACACTTCACCTGTACCACACACATGCAGCATAAAAACATATTTTTGTTTTTATAATTATAAATAATACGCAGTACTGTAATTCATTTTCTCTGATGTATCTAACTGTATAGAAGTCCGTACGGATAAAATGAAGGGCGCAAACCCAGGCATTGGATTTGAAATCATAGTCGAATTCCGAATAACCTTCAATTGCCTTCCTTACATAATCCTGAGTGGGAATGGGATTCCCGTCTCGAGACAACGAGGACTCGCGAAATTGGCGGTCTAAATCCCTCTGGTGCATCGCAGATTGTACGACTGCGGCTGGACCAGGGATGCGGTGTGACTGTGGCGGAGGATGGGTTGACGCGGTTTGCAGGAGAGAATTGCAGTTTACGCCTTCCGATATTTGAGCAGGTGCAGAGAAAGGTGTGAAGGGGGGGTTTGAAGAGGCGGGGGTGGAAGAGATACCGTTACTTTTGTCGTGGCGGAGGCGCTTGCAAGGTTGGAGGAGAGAACGAAGATCGGAATCGTCGACTTCGAGTCCTTCCCAGGCCTCCTCTTCCATAGTTTACACTCTTTTGTGAGAGCAGAATAGGAGGGAGGAATTTCGTGGCAACTGCAAATTTCGGTTTTGTTGACTATAAAGCACATACTATAAAATTTACACCGATAAAAGTTTATCGATAAAAGTGAATGAGAAGTTCATTTTTTGGGGACGGAGGTAATATAATTAAAGATGTTCACGCTTTACATTCAACAAATGCTATACGGGAAATTACCAGCATAGTTCACTTTTGTGTACAATATCATTTATGTCTCAATTTTTTTTTCATTTTTTTGTATTTTCAATTATACTTTATTTATTTCAGTTTTTGACTAGCCTCTTTGATAGGTAGAATCGTACTTGTAGTCTCTTATACCAGAGAGCCAAAGATGAGTTTCAAAGAAGGAATTCCCTAATCCCTAATCTCGTATACCAGGTTTTCGTATAACAGATTCCCTAATCTCTTTTCTCGACACCTGATCTGAGGAACAATTTGGGAGAGTAATTGGAAGACTGCCCGGAGAGCCAGCGATGAGTTTCAATCGGTTTAGATCAGGGCTATCTGCCTAGGAGGAGATGATTTTGGGCGCTGCTATTTCAACCTTCAGATTTACCGATTTCAATTCGGAGATGGAGCGGAGGTTCCGTGCGTCTCCGTCGTCCAACTGTCGCAGGTGGTGGAATTCATCTCCTTCTTCTCCACCGATCATCGATGGAAGTGGTTACACCGGCATGAGTGGCATCTACCTAAATCATCCGGCCAGGCCTCATGAGGCTCCTGTCCGGTCACCTCAATTTGAGGTGGTTCCGGGGATATTTTTGGCTGAAAGTTTTTGTGTATGTTCCTCATGAGATCTAGTTTATTTATACCAAATTTGAGCAAAAACTTCAATCCGGAAGGTCGTCAAATGATTTTTGCATTAAAATTGGTCCGGAATATACATATAAAACGCTGTTTTCATGCAAAAATCATTTGACAGTCTTCCCGATTGATTTTTTTTCTCAAATTTGGTATGGATGAACTAGACTTGACGAGGAACATACAAAAAAACATTCAACCAAAAACACCTCTGGAACTACCTCAAATTGAGGTGGTCGGACAGGAACTATTGTGTGTGTGTGTATAGCTTGGGCACGCGCGTTGCGCGACAGTTGATGCCCAACCTTGGAAAAAAACAGGAAATTTGTGGTGCACAATAATAATATGCAAACACATTACAAAGGGCAGTCGACAAAAGAGAGTCAATAATCTGAAGTCCATTACAGCTACTAGCGCAATAAGAAGACCAGTTTAAATATTTGAGTTACAGCCGACAAAAGAGAGTCAATGAAGTCCATTACTAATGTTTTTATTTTAACTTTATTGTCCAGGAAATTCCTGATGGTATGTGTAGGCATCTATTTGACTTTCTAACCCAGTTAAAAAAAACTTTAGTATGTATTCTGAAAGAGTATGAAAATTGTATGATGTTTTGTGAAACATGTTTCTACATCAATAAACAGTGCATAATTTTGGTTACATAACTCCTAATTTTTATTGCTAGGTTCCCCCATTCTGCTTTGTTTATAACTTGTATGTTTTTCAGTATGACTCTGTGGGAGGAGTTTGACACTAAGCCTTGTTTGCATGCCCTTTTGTATTTCTTTTTTGATATTAATAAAATTCTTGTTTTCTTAAAGGCCTGCTGTTTATTATTGAATAAGGTCTTCTTAAAGTCTAAGACGGGCATAGCCTATATAATGCATATAGGTCAACAAAGAATAAGATGAAGAAGAAAAGGTAGGCTTAGATACATACTTGGTTCTGTTTGTGCTCATCCATGTAAAAATCATTGAAGTCTCCCTGCTCCAGACAATGTTCATGCACAAATCCACCTATACATTTTGGATCAACAATAAGACCTTTCTTGTGCTCTGTTTCTATATCTAGAAAATTAACACAAGAAGCACATACTCGGTTTAGAAAATTGCACATGTATTATCAAGCACGTACATGCGACTAATGTTGTTTTGGCCAGTACCTGGAAGCATGGAACCAAAGTTAAAAGCTGCAACTACGAAGGAAAGAATCAAAGATAAATTTCATACCCCTCTGACTATGGAACCTGCAGGTTGCAGCATATAATGAGTGTTAAGTTAGGGTAAAACAACTATAGTGATCATATAATCAGTGTTAAGAAATCTTGGAATACACATTGCTAGGCTATATTCGGAATCCGATTAAAACATTTTAAAGTTCTCATTCATTTTTACTCCGTACTTTTTAGTCACTATAGAACAGAAATATATTAAAAAGGTTGATCTCATAACTGAATTTTATGTATTCCCTGAATTTCTTTCTCGCATGATTGTTATCTATTTTTCAGTCTAAAATTACAAAGAAAATGGTATAAACCAAAAACCGAAAAAGATAGTTTGCAAGGATCACCCATGTCCTTGAACAATCATTTGATGCACAGACCAAAGCTCCATTGTTCAACAACAAACGAACATTATCAGGTCACCTTTGGCGAGAAGCCAAGTTCATCCGTGAAGTGAATCGACTTTAATATCTATTTATCAAATTTCCAACATCAGCCACATATTAATTTCCTACTTTTACTTCCAAATTAATGGGGTGCTTACATTAGCCCCACCTTCGATGAGCTTCTAGACGTAGGTGATCTTTCCATGCATTGCAGCCAACATCAATGGAGTCTGAACCATCCAAAATCAACCAAAACAATAAACACCATCAACCGTCATTAGGGAGAAATATAAAGAAAATGCACAAAATATCTGACCAAACAAGGAAGAAGAAGAAAGCAGGAAACACAGGACCTGCTTGTAGCGACTCAACACATCTGGGTTGACAGATATGTTTAACAACATATTAAGGACCTGACAAAATTAACCGATACCCATCCATCAACATTGATTTCAGTAACTAAAGATTGAATGATTGAATCTTTGAAATAAATTAGAGCTGACCTCGATCTGGCAGTTTAGTGAGTCATTTTGCTTTATTCCATCATAATCTCAAGCCAAAAATAATGAATCTTTGGCTCCATTGCAAATGATGGAAAACCTCATCGAGATTTTCTGGATGAACTGAAAAAGAAAAATTGAGCATTCGGGTGTCCTCAGAGATAGTTTCATCACTGGACAAAATTGGGACACGTGTAGAAGCTGCACAGTCGAGCGTTGGATCAGAGAGGTTCTCATCATTTCCAAGTGGGGTCTCTAACGTATCCTTGTCAGCATCATAGCTAACCAATTGATGACAATCCCCGATTACCGCCTCGTGTAGGGTGGCCACCGGGGTTTCATCACAATCAGGACTCATTGGGAGCTTGGCATTTGTACTCATATCACAATTAGAGTCATTACGGGCCACATTGTGGAGTGTAAATAACGAAGTGGGACCTAGTTCAAGTATAGCAGTGACATAAAATGGCAGCATTAGCGACAACAACATCATTTTCATGAAGTGAAACATTAACAAAAGAAACCGCCCAGGCTTCCACAGTTTTGGCGGTTGCATATTCAGAAAATGCAGCAGCCTTTAAAGGTGTGGCAATATCAGACATTTTAGGGACTGTAACATGAAGAAGAGAAATTGCCTGTGCATCGAAAGGTTTGGCAGAATTAGCAATTTTAGGGACGGTAACCAATGGATGAAAATCCTCAGTTACCGCCTCGTGTAGGGTGGCCACCGAGGTTTCATCGGAATCAAAACTCACTTGGATTTCGGCAGGTGTAATCATATCACATTTAGAGTCATCAGTGACATTAACCGCAACATTAGGGATAGTAGCATCATATTCAGGGACTGAAACATCAATAGAAGAAACTGCCCGGGCTTCCACAATTAAAGGTCTGACATTATCAACAATTTTAGGGGTGCTGCAATATCGGAAAATACACGGGTCTTTAAAGGTCTGGCATTATCAACAATTTTAGGGACTGTAACATGAGTAAAAGAAACTGGTTGGGCATCTAAAGGTGTGGCATTAACAATAGCATCACTAACATGTAAGTCAATTGCATAATCAGAAATTGCCTCAGCCTGTAAAGGTCTGGCAGAAACCATTGGACAAGAAACATAATATATCGATGGAGAGAAGGGGGTCATATTTACTTTACCAGTTTACCCTTACGTTTTGATAATTGGAAGTTAGAGAGAAGGTAACGATGAAAACATACTACATTAAGTGTTGCTTTCATAGATTCTAAAACTTTGTCTCTCAATTAAACTATGCTAAGATTTTGATACACTAATATAAACTATCAATGAAAATGCAAAAACTATCACTGAGACAAATTCACAAACATTGAAACACATATTGCTTCATATGTATAAAATAAATATATTTACCTTCCAATAAAGCTTTGAAAGGTGTGTCAATGTGTCATACAACTAAAAATACAAATAGTGAAAGTATTTTATTTACAAAGCTGTTAAATTACATTACTATTAAGTACTACATATGTTTTCCATAGAATCTAATGTTAACCAACAATCACATCTCTTTGGTGTGAATTTAAAAATGCCAGGTACTCTAGACAAGGAGATATGAGACCAAAGGTTACTGATTCAGTAGTATGGAAGAGGTTATGTGATATCAATAGCATTGCTACTGACCTTTGCTCATATAATGAGGATGGAGAAATCTTTTGGGACCCTGGAATCAATGGTTTCTTCTCTCTGAAGTCTGCGTACAATGAAATAAGAAGCAGTAGATCATCTACATTTTCTGATAAGCATGTGTGGCATAAATATGAACATATGACAGTAAAATTATTTATGTGGAAACTTCTGAATGGTTACCTCCCTTTACTTGGAAACTTACAAAAGCTTCATTTCTATTTGCAACCCTCCAGGTGCCCTTTCTATAAATCTCATGCTGAATCAACTGACCATCTTTTCTTTGGCTGCATCTTTTCAAAGAAAATTTGGAATTATTTTATGGACATGTTCAACATCAAAGGTTCCACAGCTTCTTCTGTTAGGCAGGTGTTGATTTCTTGGTGGATCGAAGCTGGCTCAAAGAAAATATCTGATATATTTAAACATAACATGCCAGGGATAATTTGTTGGCATTTATGGAAAACTTACTCATCCTATGTTTGGGGATCAACATATATTCCCTCTACAGAACATTTAATTACTCAAATCAAGTGCTATACTAAAAAATGGGCATGTAAATTGTCTAAGTTCAAACCTAAACATGTGGATGATTTTCTCTTAGGCAGGAGAAGTTGATTTCGAACAACTTCAGGTTCTCATCATCAGGTGTTCAGATTATAAGGTGGAAACGACCTCAAAAAACTTACAAACTAAACATTGATGCAGCGTTTTTACCTGGCTTGGCACAAGGAGGAGCCATCCTGAGAAACTGTTTCGGCGAATTGATTTACGCCATGGCCTTTAGCATCCACGCAGATGATAGTGAGGAAGCGGAATTGAAGGCGCTTGTCCAAGCTTCGAAGATGGCCATGGTGGACGGTCTTGTTGACATTCAGGTGGAAACAGATGCGGTGCGCTCACTTGCTAGATTGAACGATGATTCTGGAAACTCTACTGGGCTTCAGACATTTAGAAGGAAAGCAGCGGACAGTGGATTCACTTTTGGGCATGTTTTCAGGGAAGCTAATGGGCCGGCCCACTTCTTAGCAGCTCACCCGATTAATGCGGCCCAATGTGTTCGCTTTGATCGGGTTAATCATCTACTGAGGTTGGTTAAAGCTAGTTATTACGCGGATCTTTTTAGTATACCTAGTATTCATTTTTAATTTTCTTGTATTTATAATTTTTGGGTCAGGTCTAGCCCCCCCCCCCCCCCAAATTCATTTTCTTTTATTTTACTGATTTTGTCTCTTCATGTACTTCTTCAGAGGAATGCCTCTGAAGAGAGGTTTTGGTATAGTCCCCCTCTCTTTCTGTACTCCTCCTTTTATTAATAAAATAATGGTAAATGTTCCCTGACATTTGCCTCACTGATTTTGGTGGTTTGCCTTCCAGGTAAAAAAAAATGACCACATCAGTTTCTAAATGCATTATTGTTATTCCTTAATGTCGATTAGTTTTATGGCTTCTTCATTTTCTTTTGCATTTTTGTACTTCATATTAGGATATTTGTCATGCTGAGATGCTTTCCAATTGAGCCTAAATTGTAACAATCTTTTAAAAGTGCAGATAAGTAGTGGGGCTTTCTAAAAACCCAAGGTGAAATTTGAACCTCTTTATTAAAGAACATGCTTATTATCTTTTTTACACGATTGTTTGAATAGTAACATTTGACAGATGGTTGAGCCCAACCTGGGCTAGGTGATGAGCCACTTGTTTGGCTTGGTGTGGACGGTGACGGAAAGAAAGCTTGTGGGTGATTCACAGTTGGGTATCTGGGTATGTTTTCTTGACCATGAGACATCTTTATTCCATGTTCTGAGTCTGTCTGAGCTTCGAAGTTATCCTAAACAGGTTGGTTCCTCATATTTAAGAGAGAATTGAGCATTGATGATTTTGGTATTAATCAATTTAACTCAACTGTTACTAAATGCTTCAACCCAGCTTCTACTATGGTGACCAAGTAAGGAGCCTATTAATCTTCTTATAATGGATCTAAAAAAGAACCGGTGACTGCAATGTTGTATGTAAACTGATTTAGAAACATGTTTTTTTTTGTATTACAAGTGACTGTAAACTCTAACTGGAGGATAGATGTTCTACTATTAAGAAGCACACAAGGTGTTTGTCCAAGGACCCAAATAGGTATATTTGGATTAAGGACGTCAAGGAGTACTTGCATGTAAAATTTCACGTTAATCGGACTTCGATTGGGCGGTCAAACGGGCGTTGACCGCCAAATCAACTGTTGTACCCGACCGGGTACTGAATTGGCAAATACCCGACCGGGTATGTCTTGAAAACTGCCCCAGGGGTCGCTGCCTCCTATACCCGATCGAGTATAAGTAGGTACTCGATCGATTATGTATTGAAAATATGCCCCAGGGGCTGCTGCCTTCTACACCCGACCGGGTATAGGTTGGTACTCGACCGAGTATTGGGTTTTACACCCAAACGGTCAGTTTTGAATGAGTATAACGTGGGGCGTTCGGGTGAGAATCTTCCACGTTGATTGTTAAGGATTATTATATGACTATAGGGCTAGGTATTGTCCATAGTAAAGGAATGAAAGGTTAGCCATATCCAGGTTAGGGTTTGGCAAGGAATAAGGTTGGGGTTGAGTATCTCCGGGATAGTAAATGACCCCGAAACTCGGTTTGGGTTGAGTATCTCCGGGACGGTAAATGCTCCTAAAATTTGGTCGGGGTTGAGTATCCCCGGGACGGTAAATGATCCTGAAACTCGGTTGGGGTTGAGTATCCCCAGGACGGTAAATGATCCTGAAACTCGGTTGGGGTTGAGCATCCTCGGGATGGTAAATGATCCTGAAACTCGGTAGGATATTATGAATGTAGAACATAGCTTATGAGCTAGGTATCCGGGAAAGGAGTGAGATAAGTCAGGTAAGAACTTTATCTCTAAAAGACTCTTTAAGGTAAATGACCTACGGGTTAATTATTTGACGAGTATATATACAGTATGTATCATCGGGTGGATGAGAGACATCTATATATATGTATCACCCTATTTTTGGGTCTCGTGTCTGAAACATTAGTTATTCCTCATATATCCTGCTTGTCACTAGTACTTCTATGGAGTACTGACCCCTCCGGGGGCCCTCACATTTTTTCCAGGTTAAGGCTAGAGTCCTATTACCTGCACCTTTGCATAGGGTGGTTGATCAAGAAGGGAGACGTGGTTCGTGCTTCCATTCTTATTTGAAAGTTATAAACTTCTCATGGATATTTGAACAATGTTTTTCTTTTAAAACAGTTGGGAGCCTGCGTGCTCATGTTTGCCACGTGTGGCTAACTATCAAACATATTATAATTCCGCATTTGTTTGATTATGATATAGATGTTGATTGTATGTGTTTACAAATCGGTTTGGCAATAGAATCTATCGGACGCCTTGTATAATCCAATGGGGATGAACTGTTGTTGTTCTTATTGGGTTGTACGACGGTTGTCTACGTGGCACGGATGCGGTCCGGGGCGTGACAATTAAATGGTATCAGAGCCATCAATTTCTAAACTATATAATTAACCTCTCAATATTTTACCATCGAAAAGTTTTGAACAAAACCATGAGCAGAAAGTTTTTGTATCTAAGGAACCGTTGGAAACCAAGTTATTGACCTCTTATTGTTAAGACGGTACCCTTAACAGTTTGTTGGCCATAATGTTGGACCAAATGGTGTCTTTGGTACTATTCCGTCACTTGACATTGAAATGAGTCTAATGGCTCATTCCGAATTTCTTTCAGAAATGGAGGGTAGACGCATGGCTACGAGGAACAACCCGAGGGGGCAAACGCCGATGACGTCCATAAGGGCTAGCCGGGTTGCATCTCGGAGCTCGAGAGGAGGTCTAGGAGGCCATGGAGGCCGTGGAGGTCATCGGGCTCAAACTATGAGCGATGGCCATGTTAGCTCGGTGCACGAAACCCACATCGAGGACTATGACTCTACATATGTTCCCGAGACGGAACATGAGGAGACCCCATACGATGGGGGCGATACCTACACCAACGATGACGATGAGGAGAGTGATGCCATGTTCGCCCAGATGGGTGAATTATTTGAGTGGTACCAAAAGGAGAAGCTGAGAAGAGAATTTAGGCGCCAAGCTAGGCGTGCCTCTCAGGGGGGTTCGGTTCAGGGGAGTCGGAGTGCTTCCGTGGCCACCCCTGTGGCGTCACAGGGGGTACAGGGGGAGGCCCCTATGTAAGAATCTCTAAATTCTTCAAGGAGGCTAGGGCCTTGGGGTGCAAGTCATTTGATGGCAAGGGCGATATATCGGTGGCTGCCGATTGGATCAAGAAGCTAAATGAGGCTGCTAGAGACATGCAGATCGAGCTTGACATAAAGCTAACGGTTGCTACCAAGCTACTGGAGGGAGTAGCGACTGTATGGTGGGAGGGCGTGGAAGGAAAATTCCACGGTGAGACCACCTGGGAGAAATTCGAAATAGAATTTTATAATCAGTATTATTCAGAGTTTGAGAAGAACCAGAAGAGGAATGAGTACATGACCTTGGTACAAGACGAGGATTGCTCGGTGAGGCAATTGGAACAGAGGTTCCCAGACTTAGCACGATACATACCTGAGTACGCCATAGATGAGAATCGCATGGCTAATCACTTCTGGGATACCCTACAGTTGGATATCCGTGATCGGGCTACCTACAATCATCACATGACGTTTAGTGAGATTGTTGATCAAGGGCTTCTTAGGGAAGCCAAGTGGAATGAAAGGAAGAAGAGAGACGTCAAGGAGGCGAAGAAGAAGAGGTGGGGAAATTCTGGACCCCAAGACCATTCTCGGAAGCATCAATCCGGGAATGGAAATTCATTCAGGGCGTCGACACCACCGGCAAAGAAGATCAAGGGCCCAGGAGGGCAAGGGCACAACTCAGGGTGTGGGAGGCCACCGAGGTGTCCAAACTGCACCAAGAACCATGCCGGGAAGTGCAATGAACCACCCCGGTGCTACAAGTGTGGTAGCACGAGTCACCTCAAACTCTCTTGCCCAATGCTGAATGGAGGAGGACCGTCGGGGGTCGTTGAGGGACCTACATCTAGTAGGGGCCGTGCCAGACCATCTCAGGGCGGCACGGGGAGGAGCGGACCCACGGCTGGTAATGCCGCATCCGTTAACCAGGGGAGGACCCAAGCACGGGTGTATGCTATGACCGAGGCAGATGCTCGGGCCATCCCGGACTCCATCACAGGTAATCCTTTGATTTCACGTGCGTTTTATCCATTTATTGGAAGTAAAACCTTCAGAAAATATGTATGACCCGATCGGGTACCCTTATAGACCCGACCGGGTATGGGCCATGTTTCAATTTTGAGGTGCTTACTCATTCGGGCGAGTTTGGTAGGCCTTTCCACGATTGGCATTTCCAACAATACCCGACCGGGTATGGTCATATACTCGATTGGGTATGAGTATGTTCCTTCCTTTTTCGAGGTATGTGCTCGATCGAGCATTCTTAGCAGGGAGTTTTGATATTTCCAGCCATACCCGACTGGGTATGGGCATGTACCCGACCGGGTATGGATAATTTGTTCGAGTTCGAGTCGTGTACTTGACCGGGCAAAGTTAACAGGGAGTTTTTCATTAAGGACTCGAGGAATACCCGACCGGGTAGGAGGCCTTACCCGACCGGGTATAAGGTAGTCCTAGGCTGAAAATTTTCCGTTCAGTCCTTTTCAGTCGGGATTTTGGGTAGTGTGCATTACATAACTTATATATGTAGGGACACTAAAGATCAATGGTAGACATGCGAGATAGGGGAGCACCGTCTAACGGGTGACTTCGTGCCATTAGATATGCTCGAGTTTGACGCTATACTTGGCATGGATTGGCATGAAAAACACCATGCGAAAGTAGATTGCTACACTAAGGTGTTAGAACTCAGGGATGGTGAAGGAAATACTCTATGTTTCGAGGGAGATAGAGGAAAATTCAATCCTTGCATCATATCGGCCATAAGAGCAAGGCGTATGATGAGGAAGGGATGTCAAGCTTACTTAGCCTATGTCATAGGTAAGGAAGGTAAAGGAAAGAGTATCACAGAAGTGAGGGTGGTGAGTGAGTATCCAGAATTTTTTCCTGAAGAACTCCCGGGACTCCCACCAGATCGAGAGATCGAGTTTGTGATCGAAGTAGAACCAGGCACAAAACCTATCTCGATTCCTCCGTAT